TGCGATATATAGCCACATGGGTTGGCGGCGGATATATCAATGGGACGGCAGAAATCATATATAGTTCGGGCATAATCTGGTGTCAGGCGCCGTTCGGATACGCCATGAGTTTAGTAATAGGTATACAATTAGACATACAATGAAAGCTATTTTGAAAATCTAAACTAAATGCTGTCAATCTTCAGGTGGTTTTTTCTTTGCCAACAAAATGCGAGAACAGGGATACGTAACAATGTTAGACCCCTTCCAGGAGACACTGGGCTCTCGGATGGGAGGACTGCTTTTCTTGCCGGCGCTTTGCGGCGAAATATTCTGGTCGGCGGCTATATTGGCCGCTTTGGGCGCAACCGTTAGTGTTATCATCGATTTGGATAACAACACATCGATCATACTTTCGGCGTGTATTGCACTTATATATACACTGTTTGGTGGACTCTATGCGGTCGCCTATACCGATGTCATACAACTGTTCTGCATCTTCATAGGACTCGTGAGTTTGAATATCAGTGACCACTAAACCAATGAAATGATAACCATATTTAACTGGTGTTTGTAGTGGTTGTGTATACCGTTTAGTATAAACCATCCGGCAGTGGGCAGTATGTCTATGGAACACAACGACTGGTTCGGCACATTAGAGCCCAGAATGTACGGCCAGTATCTGGACTTTGGTCTACTGCTGATCCTGGGAGGTGTCCCGTGGCAGGTGTACTTCCAACGTGTCCTGTCCTCCAAGTCTGCATTTAAAGCACAAATACTGTCATATGTGGCCGCGTTTGGAGTCATAATAATGGCAATCCCGCCAATGATTGTCGGCGGCATCGCTAGAGTCACAGGTATTTACCATCATATTATAGGTCATTTCATTTTATAAAATTTGTGATATTCTGTTATATAGCGTGGAATGAAACCGACTTCAAGGGTCCGCTACCTCTAGACGCCGCTCACCAATCATTAGTGTTACCAATGGTTTTGCAATACTTAACGCCGCCGTTTGTCTCATTCTGGGGTTTGGGTGCCGTCAGCGCTGCCGTCATGTCATCATCGGATTCATCGCTTTTGAGCGCCAGTTCTATGTTTGCCAGAAATGTCTACAAATTGATTATCAGACAAAATGTATGTTTAAGTGACTTATATTATCTACATTTTAGACATAATTATAGTTATACACACCTTTTCCTTCTGTTTCGTTATCTTAGACTTTCCTCTGTTTAGAGTTTTAAATATACTGTATATAAAATTCAGTTAAAATAAGATATTTCATAATAATTACATATTAGAGCTATTTTTGATTACAACTATAATAAGAATATTCTATAATTCTTTAGGCATCAGAACATGAGGTGCTTTGGATTATGAAACTTGCAATAATAGTAGTCGGATGTGTGGCCACAGCAATGGCATTAACTGTTAAATCTATATACGGCTTATGGTTTCTATCATCAGGTATTTGGACATATCGTACAATTCATAAACAATTATTAAATTATAAAAAATTTTTCATTAAAACAGATTTGGTTTTTGTAATACTATTCCCACAATTGGTTTGTGTCGTCCATTATAAGGAGAGGTGCAATACTTACGGATCACTCGCAGCGTATATGATTGGCCTCTTCTTGCGAGGAATGGGAGGGGAGTCGGTCATGGGTTTGCCGGCAGTCATCAAATACCCCTTCTGGGATCCAGAACTCGGCCAACTGTTCCCATTCCGGACGTTCGCAATGGTGACCAGTTTTATCACACTATTGTCTGTTTCGGCGCTCACGAAGTGGCTCTTCGAGAGCGGAACACTTGAGCCGCGTTTTGATTTCTTTCGTTGTGTCGTTAATATTCCCGACGACGCGATCGTCGTTCAGGAGCCGCACGAAGAGATGACTATATTGAACGTGAATCAGGCCCTCCTCTACCAGACATCCGAACTCAACGGTCGAGTGAATCCCGCGTTAGTTAGTAGTGATACAGAAGACGAGCCCTTAAACAATGAGAACAACAAACGAGTGAACAATCGGAACAATTCTCTGCGCGGAAGCAAACAATTCGATGAAATACACGCAAAGCCAACCGCACTGTTCGGCTCTATAGCTCCCGGACAAGTGATCGTCACTAAGTTGTAAGTCAATTACCACTTCACACAATACACACCATATATACACATCATCTTATGTTAAGGCTGTCATCAAATCAAACAAAAACCAAACTTAACTTAACCCTAGAATCGCAAGAATTTTATTCACAAAATGAAATTCTTTTCATTTGGAAAAATATAAAATGAATATTACAAAAAAATCTACAAGAAATTCAAACATAATAAGTGTTTTAGAGATGTTTTAAATTGGTTTTTTAATTAAGATTTATTTTATTTGGAAACAATCAATTCATTTGAAAGCGTTTAAACACATTATTTTGCCATTTAATAGAAAATATAAGCAATAAATGCAGTAAAAAAAGAATATAAAAACAATAAATTTAACAAATCGACTAAATGTTTGCCATAATTACATACTTAATAGATTCAATATTATATAATATTCATACATAATAATGTACTATAGAGTCCATATACAAGGATGTTTGTGAGACCAAGCGATGGGTTTTACTATATAAGACAATTGTTAGGAAAATGATTAAATTTACTTTCAGTCAAAACTCAGTATATGATTAAAAAGTTACGCTTATCTTACATTATAGTTGATGTAAATTTAAAAATATTCAAAAATGTATATTTGTTTCAAATTGTGTTTGCTTTAAATTAGTAGATATTCTCACTATAAAGTGTTAAACAACTTTTCAATTATATGGTGTGAGTTATACTGAATTTGTTTTATTACACATCAAATGGTAAATTACAGTACATTTATTCATTGGCTGTGTTTCCCATAAACATCCATGTATTCAATGCATTAGCAAAAACTAATACATTGTATGTATGAAACTAACGTATTCTCTATAGTATATCAACAAATAATTCAATCAATAATACCCACAGAACTAAAGCCTAAAAGCATTTTAAATGAAAATCTAATTTTATTTGACTAACAAATATAATGTCATAGATTTTTATTAGTATTTCTATAAAACTGGTTGTGATTTAATGGTTGTGAAACTGTTTGTTAACAATTTAAGACAATTCGTTACACTTGTATTGAAAACCATTGGTTGTGCTCTCAGATAATCACTAAATAAAAAACAATGATATTTCAAAACAATTCCTTAAAATACACTGACATTCAAATGAGAGTTTGAATACATTTTACCAAATAATCCAAAAACACTTATAATATTCATAAATAAAAGATTCAAAAGAAGACAAACGATAAGAAACATAAAAGAGTTTATCTATACATAAAACAACACAATAAAGGATATAATCAGTAAAAAAGGTTCCCATGAATTGATTTTTACATAAGATTTTGTTGAATATGTTATTTGTTTATAATATAGTGACAATTCAATCGATAAGTTATTTATAAATTTATTAATACATTTTGAGAGACTTATAATAACAATGATAATTCATTTGAATCTTAAATTTCATGAATATTTTATTAATAGTAACGTTGCTTTAAATTATTAAGATTTTATGAATGCATTATTAATTCATACAAAGAATAATACAAATGATTTTTATCGGGCCTTATAATGAAGAAATCGATTGAACGTATGTTTATGTCATTGAATAATATATAGTAATTGTAAATATATTATAAAATAATAAATATTATGTATAGTGTAGTGAAAATTAATTTATCAAAAAGTATATCAATTTGTTGAGTATATGAAACTATTGCAGAAAATGTTTATTTACTATTAGTAGAGATATATTATATAATATTAAATGAAATCATTAAAATCGGGAAACGATTAGATATATTAATCTCTGAGAAAAGAAAAAATAAATGTATTTTTTAGAAATGCTTTACAAACCAAACATATTCTATAAATGTTTCGTTAAAACCAATAATTTGTTAAAATCTGTTATAATATTAAAATGTTTTGTTAATTAAATGTTATATTCAATGAAATAAAATTTTCTGCAAAAGTTTCTCGTCGTTATTATAGGAAAAAGTTTATAATAAAACCACTTATTGTTAACTCTTTCCATAATTTGGTCTTCTATTGTGACACTAATTGTGAATTATGTTTATATTAATGATTAAATATATTTCAAATAACAACAACAAAAACAATATAACAAATGGTTGTGAAACATATGCCTGTTATTAGACATGATTTAATTTTTTAGATATAGTTTTTTAGTATATTATTTCTCATTATTCTTCCAAACAATCAATGCATTAACTAATTGTCATTTTATTATAAAAACCAATTGATTTGATTATTTAAATTATAATCAAAATTTTCTTATCAAATATTAATTCAATTTGTTGTACAACTGAAGTAAACTATTATTAGATAATTAAAAACAAAAACTATGTTTAAAAATTTTAATATGTTATAAAAATTCTGTTAAGTTATGAAAAATTAATTATCGGTTCAGTTATTATTAAATTCATTGTTAAAACAAATCTATTTTTGTTTAAATAAAATTAATTTCTATATAAATAAATGTAAATTATTTATTACCAGATCTAAAAATGATGACAAATATATAATTAGACAACGAATGTATTCATTAATAATAAATTGTTTGTTAAGTTAAAGCAATTCATTTTCGACTAATTCTTTACATAATGTGACAAAAAACGTCAAAACAAATCATTAAAAATGAGTTTTGGCATCAAATTCATACGAATGTATTCATTAATAATAAATTGTTTGTTAAGTTAAAGCAATTCATTTTCGACTAATTCTTTACATAATGTGACAAAAAACGTCAAAACAAATCATTAAAAATGAGTTTTGGCATCAAATTCAATGCTTATGAATAAATTAATCCGTTTTAATTAATAAATTAATACATTATTTGAATGGAGTTAATAAGCCTATAGCCAACAATATTCAAATGCTGTGACCTAGTTAGAACAAAACTACAATGAACACCATGGTCATTTATCACACACCTACCTGTATATTACCGTAAACTATTGGATGAGTGGTGAGGGTATATGTAAGACAATTCTTATAAAACAGCACAATATGTTTAAAAAAAGACTTTATTGTTTATATTAATTAGAATTTATATCTTATGAAATATTTAATACTTTATTATAAAGTTTTGAAACTTTGAGATATAGAAAAACATTGGTTTTACGAAAACTGAAAAAAATATTCGTCTCAACGAATCGTTTTATTAATAGTCAAAATTAAATTATAAATTGAATGCATTTGTATTATAAATAAATATATAATTTAATCAGTTTATAATCGCCGATTCAATGTCCGATTCGTCGATATCGTTAAT